CCTAATTTGAAAAATGTAGATGTTTTCCTTTACAAAAGCCTATTTTTCTCAAATGTGAATTTTCTTATTTCCTCTGTTTTCTATCAATAACATGATTTGTTTTTTGAAGTTAAAGTCCTCGCTGATGCATATTCGAAATGTGCATTTTGTCTATTTGTACACCTCAGCTGATGAATTGAAACCTGTATGTGTGGGTTGTAACAGGAAGCAGAGGGAGTTCTGGTGGGCTCAGCCTTATCAGCCACATGCCTGCGTTCAGACCTGTAAGTCCACTCACATCGTCTTTAACTCATCTCAGACTTTGAATTAAAAGCCCACGCAGTTTCAGAAGTGACTCTCCCTGTACGACCTGATGTCACAGTTGAGTTTTCCTTGTGTTTTACTCCACGCTTACTGAAGTGAGCACTGTAGACGAAGGTAAGCAGAGATCACACTTCAGGTTTTGGGCAAAACCGCAAAAAAAACGCCATGTATTTTTACGTTCTCCCTCAGATATAACGTTTTACTTTCCACCCACAGAGGAAGACATGATGGCCATTGATGAGAAATGTGTTGAAGCAGGTAAAGCCTCAGCTGCCACTTAGTTTTTCATCCAACAACCTGCTTGTGTGTCTTTGCTGCTTTGTGATAAATATCCTGTGTGTGTTTTTTCCTTTCTGACAGATGAGGAGGCATTTGAATGTGGTAGGTAAGTTTTTTTGATTCTGAACTCTGTATTTAAGATGCAACGCTCTGTAACTTGTCCTTCACCTAAAGCTTTGGTTTTTCTTTCTTTTTCCGAATGTTCCTGCTGTCTGATGGGGGGGAAATGTCAGAGGAGCTCAGAGAAGGTGAGAAAATAAGATTTGGGTAGATTGATATTATAATTATATATATAATATATATAATATAAGTGCTGATAGATATAAAAATGCATTACTCAAAAATGCACTTATTGTGAATATGCTCTGCTTTCAAAGATTGTGATGTGGATTTTTTTTTTCCAATCAACCTTGCAGCCGTAGTTTCCTTAACATCTTTATTTCTTGCTTTTTATTTTTCACCATCCTTTTGTCATCCATGTCTCATTCTGCTTCTCGTCATATCCAACCAGAGGAGGATGACTTCAGCAACATTGAGGGGATTTACTTAAGTAAGTCTCCAAACATATATATATGCTCATTTATATTGTATATCACAATCTATCCTTTATGTTTTATACGTCCGTTTCTATCCGGATCGGTTTACTAATGACCTTTATCTTCATTTTACCTCAGCGGGCTTCAGACGCAGCATGCGTCTGTGCAGGCGGCACTTTCACAGCACCATCCCGCCATCCTGCCACACTCGCTGTCCCAGCAGCTGCAACAGCGCCCTCAACAGCCCCTATGAGGAGGTGGTACGCTACCAGCGTCAACCACAGGACCCACACCGCCTTATCGCCCTCTTAGGTACACCAAACACATGAGCTTGGGCACTGCTTCTGTTTTATTTTAGGGCATCAATAAATTAAGACCTTGCATAAATGTTCAGGGTGATGAAATGTATGATTAGGATAAAGGTTTAGATGTTTTCTGATGTCCGCAGGTCCGTCTAGTGTGGGTGTGAATGAACTTCGGAGGCGCTTGATTGAAATGAACCCCAACGTCTTCCAGGGAGCTTTAGCTTGTATGTATCAGACACTTATATATATATATAAAATCACATCATAAACACACATAGTCCACTTTTCTATCTTTTTCGTGTGTGATAGTCTTTTGTAAGTTTTTGAATCAGTTGTGATTAATGCGATTCTTTTTTTTTTTCTTTGACCAGATACCACAAGAGCACCCAAAGGATACGAGGAGTCAGGAAGAGAATATTTCTTCACGAGCAGAGAAGTCTTCGACAACATGGTTTATAACAACAGGTATGCCGGCCTCTGAAAATAAAATGATGTGAGTCTGCACATAACACAACTCATCAAAATGATGATGACGGTGTTTACCAGGTTTCTGGAGTACGGCGAGTACAAAGGGAATCTGTACGGCACCAGCATCGAGTCTGTGAAGGAGGTTTTAAACAGCGGAAAGATCTGCATCATCGACATCGAGCCGAACGTAAACACAATATGAACAGTGGCAGGAATTCAAGTTTTAAGTTTCAGAGTCAAGAAAAACGTTTTACAAACTTGGTTTCCATTTAATGACATTATTATCATCTGTTGTGTCTACATTAAAATAATTCTTTGAGTTTCCATCACTTTTATACCTTTTTATTAAAAATAGCTTCAATTAGAATATATTTAATTTATTGATTCTCTATTCAGGCCATTCAGGCAGTGAGGACCCACGAGCTGAAGGCCTACATCGTCTATGTGAAGCCTCCACCTCTGGAGCGCATCAGGGAGACCAGACAGGATTCGTACATCACCACCAACTACTATGTCAACAGACCGTTCAAAGTAAGCTCACCCATCGGCCCATGTTGTAATTCTGGTCTGTTATGAGTCTGTTTTTCTTACTTCAGTATTGATAAAAAGATTTTTTTTAAACATTTAGATTTAAAAATAAAGACACAATTTATCTCCACACGTTTTTTAATGAATCATCAAGTGGTTTGACTGTAACTGTATTTTTGCTCCCCCCAAAATGTTTTTAATTGGTTCTGGTTATATGAGTTTTATGTATTAATGTCAATAACTACAACTCCCCTTGTGGACATCCATAAAATATTGAATAAATCGTATTAATTCTAATTACTMAAATTCAGTATATTATTATAAACACTTATATGCTGTATATTTAATTTCAAACCTATGTAATTTATATTTTCTAAACATTTTAGTCCAAAATTCTGTCTCTTCCAACAGAGCGAAGATTTCCAGGAGATGGAAGAAGCAGCGCGCAAGATAGAATCGCACTTCTGTCAGTTTTTCGACCACGTGATCGTCAACGATGAGCTGCAGGACTCCTGCGTCCAGCTGCTGACCGCGGTGCGGAAGGCTCAGGACGAGCCGCAGTGGGTCCCTGCCAGCTGGATACGACCCACCACAGAGTCGTGAGGGAGGACGGAGGAGAAGACGAGGGGCAAGAGGGGGAATGTGGCCCCCTCGCATTTATTAGGGCAGCACATTTTGGATACTGAAAGTCTGGAATATTGTCCCAAAAAGCTTAACATTCAAATCAAATGTTTTATGTCTAACACTGCATTTTCAAGGGGAGTGGGGCATGGAAAAGAAATCTGAATATTTTGATCTGGGTGTTTCTGACATGCTTAACTGGCTCTTGAGTCGTTTCAAATCCCCAAAGACAAGATGAAGCTGGACTCATGCTCAAAGAAATCCCTGAAGCTCACGTTTGTCAGAATTTGGTTTGTATTTTCAAAGTAGGAAGACAGCTGTTAGTACAATGACAACACAACCAGGGGCACCTTCTTCTGTGTGTCTACAGGATGTTGGAATTATTATAGTGAGAGAGTGATGATAAAACTGTTGATTTGTACTTTGCTGGTAGCTTTTGAATTTCCTGCCCTGCTCCCCACTGTTATAACACAAATCTACATAAAGACTTGATGTTTGTCCAATTGATGTTTACACAGTTGAAATCAAGAATTTGTTTTTTTTTAGATCTTTTTTTTATTTTGTCTGTAAATTTTAAGATGAATACAATAATCTGAAATGATCTAAGTGAGCTGACGTCCGGTATATACTCTGTGTGTGTAGCCACAGCACAGGATGGAGTTCTCCACATGTCTGTCATCTCTTTGTGTGTTTCTATAGCTTACCGTGTCATTGCATGCCAAAGAGTTATCCAAGGTTTACAAAGAAAAAAATACAGAATGCTCTGTTCAGCAAACTTGCAAAATAGCACTTAGTGACCTTATTTCATTAAACTGGTGTAATGAAAACCATGTTTTCCATAGTAAAATGCAACCAAAGTGCATGCAAAGCAATGACATTTTAATACATACGTGTTTGTGACGTTAATAAAGCAAATATGATAGTAATTTATTCCTGGATTCACTTATTTTGTCTTTTTTTCATCTGTTCTCGCTTGCAGTGGGACTTTTATTGTGAAGACACAGGAAGGGAGTGTTGTGTCCGTCTTTTAAATACCTCCGGTTCGCAACTCTCTTCCTGTAGAATGTAAATAAAGCGAGCAACGAGAGAAGTCGCTGTTTATTCAGTGTAAATCTCATGTGGTTGATGAATTCGCATCAAGTGGAGTTTATTTCACTAGATGAGAATTGAAAAGTGCAGATTTAAGAACATTTGGGTTGAAAGACGGAAAACTCGAAGGTAGCTCACGTGTTTGTTTTCCTAAATAACGGTTTAAGTGGCTATAAGGGATTAGCCTTATCAGAGTTAGCGATTTTGAGTAGTTTCCACACAGTTAAATACCTTCCTGTGCCGTGAGCGTGATATTTTCGACATATACTAACTCTAGTAAACATTTTTTATCTCATTTTGAATGTTTTTAGATGTTCGCATGGTAACTCACATGTAAATCTCGCTGAAATTCTGTATTTCCTCTCCAGAAAATGCGGCCCAGGGAGCTTCCGCCTCTTCCACAGGTCAGTCAGTGAAATCCAAGTGTTCTTACCCCAAACTTATTCCATTACGGGTATTTATAAGATCACTGTGCTGTGTCATAGTCATTAATGTCATTTTGTACAACAGACAAAAGTCTTAACGCGTAAAACAAAACTTATTTTGTTTAGATTTTGATCACTGTTGATTGGAATCATAACACTGTAACAGCATATAATCACAAAAGATTCCCAATGATAAAAAGCCTATTGGATGTAAATAACTGGGTAAAAAATATAACTTCCATTCCTCGATTGTCACCAAACAAACCTAGAAGAAATAGACTAAGCTTTGTCGTCACAGATTAAACCAGATTCCACAGATGCACTTCCTTGAAGTTTCACAAAAATAAGCACACAGCCACTTCTTCAAGAGTTTAAAGAAAAAAAGAAAAAGGGTTTGACCTCTGCCCTGAGTAATCCTCCGTCGTGGCAGATGTATGAACACAGATTTAGCCGAGGATTTAACAGCCAGGATGTTACGTGCAGCTTCACTCGGCTCTTACTTGATTCTTGGGTGAAATGGCCAGAAAGACAATGGTAAGATCTTTATTTCTGATGCCTTATCCTTTACGCTATGACCGAGCATTTAAAAAAACTAACTTTATTCAATTCTAAACCACTTTAGGTGTTGTGTAAGTGTCCGAGACTTAAATAGCCTTAGAGCGACTGGTTTTCTAAGAGCAGGTGTATCATTTTTAATGGTTTGTCAAAGTGAAAATCTTTCTTTGCGCCTGAGCTCACTGTTTTTAATGAGAGATCGTTTGTTAATGTTTTTTGATGGGTCTGAGTGTCTCACTAATCCAATTTCCCCACCTGAAGTGTCTGATTTGTTGTTTCTCAGCACTGTCGTTCGTGGTAGACAAGTATATTTTGTACTGGATTCGGTTTATTCCTGTGTTTATATTGTATTTGGCCGTGAAACAGATATTAAACCTCTATGTGAAGAAGACCATGGAAAAGTCTTGAAATTAATCTGAAAGTCTGTTTGTTTGACAAGAACCTTTAACAACAACAACATAAAGAAGAGAATTGACTTGTGCTTCTCTCTTTTGTCTCTTAAGCGAGGACAGCGGACGCTCCCCACGATGACGAGGTACATGAATGTGTTCATTTCTAACTGTGACCATATAATAATTCATTTTTTCTTCACTTACAGTTTTTAAACTAAACCATATTTTTGTCTGCTCTTTCTCTGTCGTTTGAAACGTGAAGTGAAGACACAGCTGGTGAGTCAGAATCTATAGAATATATGTTGATATAATAATCATAATAACAATAATATTCAATAACTTCTATGGGCATCTTGTTGAGACTATGTATATTCTGTTTTTTCTCCCGCAGGAGAAGTGGCAGCACCCAGACAAAAGAAGAAGAGGGTGAGAAAGGAGACGAATGGAGTTGACGATGTAGATGGTACGAAATACATGGGAGAAAATTGGTGGACCTATCAGCACAACTACATTTGCCCCTTAACCTTTCAGAATAAAATCTCAATACTCATGTACCGCCTCATTTTTCAGATCAAGGGATGGAGATGGGAGGCCTGGGCAGTAGGAGGACATCTGAGGTTGGAGAGCAACTTTCCCTTGAACCCACAAATGGAGCGCCTCCCCCGAGAAGGAGGAAGAAAAAGAAAACTGCCACTATTGGTAAAATAGCAAGGACAGACAATACACGTAGGCTTTTCTTAACATGACAAGAAAACAATTTAATTGTATAAACAACAGAAACTGTGGCAGATCTGTGCATTTTTATGGAGTAACTATAGTGTGACCAGCTCAGTTTGGTGCATCGTGGCATTTATAGATGAGTATATTCACGCTTGTGCCGCAGTTTCAGATGTTGAAGACGACCAAGCCGATCTGGTGAACGGAGATGCAGCTGATCAGACCACCGATGGAGAAGAAGTGGTCAAAAAAACCAAAAGGAAAAAGTACGTTTTCATAACACTACATGTTATATCCGCAAGCACCGAAGATAACAGCTAGTTTCAATATCAGTAAATCTTTTCTCAGTTGATCATTGACTTAATTTGTCAAAAAAGTTGGAATATAATAAAAACAGCTGCTTTAATTTGCCACAGCCACACAAAGTGACGTCTTCGGGTCAATATCAGTCAAAAAATATTTTTACAATCATGTCTGAATCAAGTCTCTGCCAAAAAGCGACCACATTCACAAAATGATTCATAGATTATCAACGTATTATCTACTGATCGTTGCAGGTCTCATTGAAAAGTCAGAACAAATGTTTCTCTCAAAAATGCAGCAAGAATGTTTGTTCCTGGACCATTTGTAATTTTATGCATGACGTGTTGAGTTGTGTTGTATTTGTGTCTTTTTTCCTTTAGTGTCTTTTACTTTCCCTCTAATAATTGTTAAAAATACGGAACCAACTAACAAAAGAAAATATTTAATGAGAGAACAACATATTTATACATTTTGATAACCTTTATTCTTGTCATTTTAGGAAGTCAAAAGTCGTTGAATCGCAGCTTCCCGATGAGTTGGATGTAGAAGAGGATGATATTATCACTGACACTCCTCCCCCTATCTCCCAGCATTCTCTGTTCTCGGCCCCACAGGGTCAGAGCCAGCCAGTCGGGAAGGTGTTTGTCGAGAGGAACAGTGAGTAGCAAAGGAGGAAGAAGAAGAAGGTGTGATCAAGGCTGTTAAATGTGGAAATACTAACTTAAACGTGTGCATTCATGTGCAGAGCGTTTCCAGGCGTCGGAACGCTCCGACTGGAGGAAGACCAGCGACCAGATGGATAACATGACGGACTTCCAGCACATGCAGCCGCTCTGGACGACCAGAGACGTTTCTATTAGAGTGCACAAAGGCTACAGGTGAAGGAAACATGTCTCTGTAAGAAAATCAACACATGAGCGTGGTCCTTCCTCCTCCTTCTAAATATCATCTCTTCTGTATCTGCTTTAGGAGGTTCGGTTTGTACTGTCATGGCTTCCTGGCAGGCTGCGCCGTGTGGAACATTGTGGTGGTGTACACGTTGGCCGGGCAGCAACTCACCGCTCTGTCCAACCTGCTGGAGCAGTACCACAGCCTGGCTTACCCCTGCCAGTCTCTGCTCTACATGCTGCTGGCCATCAACACTGTGGCCGCCTTTGACAGGTGAGGATCAACCTTCCCATCACCATGGATACTTTGCTCATATGCTCACATTTTTATTTCAATTAAAAAAATCTGATTGCAGTGTTAATATTTATCAAAGATGCCTGAATGTTTATTTAAAATCTTTAGAAATGTGCAGGTTTTTATCTCAGAGTATTGAGCTGACGGAGCTTTTGTAAGTTTCTTAAACCTGCTCTGCTTCACAGAGTGAATCTGGCCAAAGGCTCCATGGCTCTGCGAGAGTTCATCACACTGGACCCCGTCGCTCTCGCCTCATTCTGTGAGTCCACACTGTATTTATAATCAAGGGATCCTCCCTTTAAACTTCAATGGTTGAGTGTTGACAGTTTTTTCCCCCTGCTTTCTTTTCTCTCTCTCCTGTGTAGTGGATTTCTCAGCGTTGGTCCTGTGTTTGAGCCAGCAGATGACCAGTGATCGAATCAACCTGTACCCATCCTTCAACACAACGCTATGGTGAGCTCACTGGAACTGCTATGTTAGGTTATTTCTCACGTCATGAAGCCTGGATATAAAACCCTGACGCTCTCCTTTTTCTTCTCCAGGCCACCAGGGTCCGAGCACCAGATCCTCCACCCATGGGTGACAATCAACCTGGTGGTGGCGCTGTTTGTCGGCCTGGCCTGGATTTGTATAGCTTCCCAACCTGAGACAGACTACACTGAGGGTGAGAGAGAATAATCTGTGTTTGTGTTTGGGGTTTGCTTTGAAGGAAGATCCCAGTTTAATTTGAATGTCTTGTCCTTCAGGTTATCTCATGGCCATGGAGCTTGAGCCGCCCAAACCAGAGGACAAATCAGAAATGATCGCCTGAGGAACATGTGTGTCTGCTGCAACACTAAAGCCTTGCTGTCATTTTGCACATATTTTTGTGTTTTAGCATTAAACTCTAACTGTGTTTTATTGTGTTTTTTAAATGTCAATATATATTGTTTTTTAAGGACAGGGTTTTAACCAAAGAATCCAACAATGTGTTTTTATTTTCTTTTGGGGGAATTCGATGTGACGAAAACTATTCAAATGTCTGTTTGTTTCAGCGCTGGCATTATAAATTGAGATGTAACAACATAAATAATTGTCAGTGTATGTGTATGTGTGAAAGCTTTTTCTTTTGTAATTTGAGAATGTTAACAATAGGAAAATGGAAAGTATATAAAAGATTAAATCAAACTTGATTTATATTTCCTTTCAAACTAATTAAATGCAAATCTTTATGGTTGATCTACATAACACAAGATTAATGCATTCCAAAGCAATCAATAATAGGAAAGAACAACAATGAAAGGTGAGATAAGTTAATAATAATAATTTTATTTGTAGAGTACTTATCTAAACAAGGTTACAACGTGCTTCACAATATCCATGGGAAAGAAATAATGAACTAAAATAAAAGGTTTTCAATTCAGTTCAATGTTAACATCATCATAACATAATAAGGTCAAGACCTTAACATTTATAGAGAAACCCAACAGCTCCCTCAATGAGCGAGCAAGAGAAAAAGCTACCTCGTTCACTGGAAGTTAAGATAATCACATGATGAAAGATTAATAGTAATGATGATAATTATAATAAGCTCTATTTGTGTGGCACAACTGCTCGGTTACAAAATGCTTCACAAGAGGATAAAACAACATTTGAATTCTAAAAAGAAATGAATTCAAGTTGAACGTTATTAGAAATGAATGAATGAATTCATAATAAAATAAATACATAGTAGATACAAATATTTAATAAAAAGCAATGAGTGTGAGTGTTGCTATAGTTTCAGTATCGATTTCACCCCTTTCGATTACTTCTGCCTGGCTGCGGTGCAGCCCGTGCAGTCGAGCCCAGACGCCTCCTCCTGTGTTGACGTGGTGTCGCTAACAGAGTTTAGGAGGAAAACATCCAGATGTTCGTGAATAAAAGTCCCTGAAACGGTTCTGTCAGAAGTGAGCAGTCATGCTGGACTTCGCCATCTTTGCCGTCACGTTTGTCATCGTGTTAGTCGGCGCTGTTCTCTACTTGTACCCGGTACGTCTCTGCAAGCTTCAAGTTAGCTTCTTAGGCTAGTCGTTATCTCCCCAGTTTCCGCCTTAAAATGGTGAATTTAACACTGCATATCTCCCTGGCGAGCGGGAGCATCCCTTTCAAGCCAGTTTAAGAACCACACACTGATATTGTGATCTGTTTATAAGTTCGGCTTTCGTGTAATACACCAAACAGAAAACTGCTTAGAGAAAATACAACTTTACTAAGTCAACGTGGGCGTCAGCGAGCGCTGATCTACTTGCCATAATGAGCTACAAAAGTAAAAATCTAGAAATCAAACTCTCTAAAGTACGCCACTTACATGCCGATTTTATCTTAAGGTTCAAACCAAAGTACCAAATGTGGTGTCTTAGCATGTGTGGAAGCAAAGACACCTTAAATCAGCATATTTTTCAATGGGATTCCATATAATTGAATGGATTTTAGCTGGATTTATTGGCGAATAAAATGTGTTTGGCCCCTGTGTAGAAAGTTCACTTATGTATATGTGTTAATTTAAATTGCATGAACAATTAATTACACATTTTATTGAAATTAAATCTGTTTGTGACTTTATTTGCAGTCATCCAGAAGAGCCTCTGGCATCCCAGGTCTTAACCCTACAGATGAAAAGTAAGTTTATATATTTATTTTTGTCTTTGCATCTTCTAGAAACTAGAAAAATCTAAACTTTTAAAGAAGTCCTGTTATTTGTACTTGGCTCCCCAACAGTCCAGTAAAAATGCCCAATAGTTTTATAAAACAATTTGCTTGGCCGCCCTCTTTTCACATAAAGAGTTGGTTTATTATCTTTATGGCACATTATCGATTTTAATTTTAACAATTTCCCAGATATTGCATTTGAAAGAAAGAAAATGTATGCCTGCTATCATCTCTCGTATTTATTTATAAAATGTGTATAACCGACTGTTAGCATCAAATTCACATCCATTGTTTTCTGCCTCGTCAGGGATGGCAACCTGCAGGACATCGTGAACAGAGGGAGTCTGCACGAGTTCCTCCTCAGTCTGCATCAGGAGTACGGGTCTGTGGCCTCGTTCTGGTTCGGTGGTCGGCCGGTGGTCAGCCTGGGCTCTGTGAACCAGCTGCAGCAGCACATCAACCCCAACCACACCAGTAGGTCCACCAGCAGGAGGGAAATAAAACCACAGTTGTTGCTTTGTAAACAAAAATACCTAAACCTAAACTTTTTCTTTTCGCTCCTCTCAGCTGACTCCTTTGAGACGATGCTGAAGTCGTTGCTAGGTTACCAGTCAGGGATGGGAAGTGGGGCCAGTGAGACCGTGATAAGGAAAAAGGTGTATGAGGGTGCCATCAACAACACACTGGAGAACAACTTTCCTCTCGTGCTACAGGTTTGTGCCACTGATGAACACATGGTTTATAAGTATTGAGCCTTTTCAAACATCCCCTCTGTGATCGTCTTTTGTTTCCCAGCTGGTGGAGGAGCTGGTCGGAAAGTGGAAGTCGTTCCCGGAGGACCAGCACACCCCATTGTGCGCCCACCTGCTTGGGCTGGCCATGAAGACGGTCACTCAGCTGGCTCTGGGTGAGCGCTTCAAAGACGACGCAGAGGTCATCTCCTTCCGCAAGAACCATGATGCAGTGAGGCAGATTGCTTTAAACATCCTAAATCACCAAATATCATCTGTGCATGTGAAAATGTGCTCTTTTGCATTTTGAACAATCGATTTCTTGCATGTTTTTTAAAAAGTACTTACTCTTATAGAATTTACAACTGGAAAGTATGGGTTACCTCACCCATATATAGTTAAATAGTAAGATTAAGTTCATTGTATTTTAATATTTTCACATCCTTGACTTTTTCTGCAGGTTGTAATCTAGGAATTTGGGCTGTTAAATTTCTGATTAAATACTTAATTTAGATTAAAGTCTTAATTTTATTTTTCTCATCTTCTAACTCACTTCGATGCCACCAGATCTGGTCAGAAATCGGGAAAGGCTACTTGGACGGCTCCCTGGAGAAGAGCACCAGCAGAAAAGGACATTATGAGAAAGGTGAGTGAGGTGGACATCATTAGTTTTCTCTGCAGAATAAGATGACGTGAATTAATCTGAGTTGTTGAAGGATGTGTGGGAACAGTAAACTGCTGTCTGTCCTGTTTTGTGAGTCTAGCAAGTCCATTTTATCCCCCCGCACCTGCTGTGTGTTGAAATGTGGGAGCAGCAGTGGGATTCTGCTCTTATTCTGGTTGCTTTAGAGAAACAAGGCTTTGCAGAGGCTCAGCTATGATCTGTGTGTAAAGCTGTGTTACAGACAGATAGAAATAGAGTGGGAGAACAGACATACCCAACCCGATCAGGTCTATCACTTTAATCAGTGAGCTGCCACTAATCTTGGGGACTTTTATTGATTTGCTGCCAAGGGCAGTTGTTTCAGGCACTAGGCACCTGGCTGGAGTTAATCTTGGATGCTGTCTGAAAGACTGGAAACAAAACCCCAAAGTTTTTAACCTTTAAACGGTGTCAGGCCTACAACATGAAAGTCTAATGACAAAGTTTTTTAAAAATAATTTCCTCCCTGTTTGTTCAGCTCTGTCAGAGATGGAGTCTGTGCTGCTGTCAGTGGCGAAGGAGAGAAAGGCCCAGAGGAAGCAGACAGCGTTTGTTGATGCTCTCCTTCAGGCCAGCCTCATAGAGCGACAGGTGAATACTGATGAAGTCTCCCACTCTGGTTTGAAACCTGAGCGATAATTGAAAAACCTTCACAGTTACTGCAAAGGTCTGAAAATGTTCTGAAATACATTTTGTTTGTTTAAGATCATGGAGGACTGCATGGTTTTCACTTTGGCTGGATGCGTCATCACTGCCAACTGTAAGTGACAACTATGAAAACGACTGGAGATGATCTCACCATGTGCCAAACAATTCATAACTGAAATAAGGCTGTGATCAATTAATATATTGTACATTTTTTAATTAATTGTTATAAATCACACATTTCTAGAGCTATGTCGAGAATCTAAATAACAGTCAAAAAACACAACTATGTCTACAGTTGATATATAAAACAGAGAGAGAGAAGCAAATCCTCAAAATGATGGAATAGGAAGTTATTGAAATAACTCATCAGCAATCAAAACAGATGCTCTAAAATTAATCACAGAACGGTTAAATTCTGATTATAGACGTTGACTCCTCAAGTAAGAAATTATCAATCTGGGCTGATATCTGTTGTTTAAACTATACCAGCAAATTATCACTTCATTCTCACTTTGGTTCAAACGGGAGGAAGGTTTTCAGAAGGATTTAACAATTTTATATCCTCAGATTTCTCAGGACTTTCCTGGCAAACTCTGACAAATTGTTAAGCCATTGACATGAACATCAATTCCTTTATTATTCCTAGCACACCGGTTTATTACAAATATGTCATGTTATTTTGCTTCTGTATTTAATTGCCTGCTTCAACTATGTTAAACATCTTGCAGCATTATTCAGAAAAGTGTGGTACAAATAAAGTTTATTATAATAATTATTATATAATCTAACCCTGAAAGCCCTGTATCAAAGTGTCCCCGACTGAAAACACTCATTTTCAGATGGATCTCCTAAGCATCGCTGTAAAATGTTGTGATTTTGCAGTGTGCATCTGGGCACTTCATTTCCTGTCCACCTCAGAGGAAGTCCAGGACAAGTTGTACCAGGAGCTGACTGAAGTTTTGGGTTCGGCTCCGGTTTCTCTGGACAAGATCCCTCAGCTTAAGTAAGATCTTTAAACCAGGCTTAAATCTGCAGCCTGACATTGGTCAAATTTTAGTGAAACGTGGAAGGAGCATACTCGCTGTCACCGTCATTTAAACTCTTTAAGCAGACAGATGTGAAGGCACATCCAGACATTGCTGCATTCAATAACTCTTATTCATTTTCTGTCCTTGACCAGATACTGCCAGCAGGTCCTCAACGAGACAGTGAGGACTGCCAAGCTGACCCCCGTCGCAGCTCGGCTTCAGCAAGTGGAGGGGAAGGTTGATCAACACGTCATCCCCAAAGAGGTATCTGGATTCCGTGTGCGTGGCTCTCTGTCCGTCGATTTCTTCTCAGCTGTTTGTCACAGTATTACAAACAATCAGTCAAGTTTTTAGTAAGTTTATTGTAGAGATGCTTTGAGAAAAGGACTAATAATCAGACAAAGGATAAAATAAATTGTAAAAAAAAGAGTTTTTGTGTATGTAAGATTTAAATTTAATGTTAATATGTGGGTGTCAAACTTTGGGGAGACAAGAAACACTAATATTATAGTGGAAAACATCATAGTAAATTAATTATTTCTAGAAGATCATGTATTGACTTTGTCTTTCAGACTTTGGTGATTTATGCTTTGGGAGTAGTCCTGCAAGATTCTGACACATGGAGCACCCCATACAGGTTTGCTTCATATGATGGAATATTGATGGTTAAAAGACTGTCACAGCATCACAGGCAGTTTTTTTTTCAGGTGCAAATATTAATATGTACAGTGTCTGATTTGGTGATGACTCTTTCAGGTTCGATCCTGACCGATTTGAGGAGGATTCAGTCAGGAAGAGCTTCTCTCTGCTTGGCTTCTCTGGGAGTCAAACGTGCCCAGAGCTCAGGTACAGAAACACATTAAAACTCAGGGGCCATGAGCTTTAACTTGCTGTTTTAAATAATAATAATCATAATAACCTTGTTTATATTGCACCTCTTCTAAAGCAGAGTTATTAAGTGTTTTACAATAAAACAGAATTTCAAGAAACAACATTTTTATTTTAACCTGAAAAGGAAGATATGGTCATTTAAAATTAAGGACAAAGACCAACAGTTGTAATAAAGCCATTCGATAACAGTGAGTGTTGCCTGCCTAAGCTCTCTAGGCAGCAAGCTTTGCCTGGATAACAAAGGCCCGGTCACCTGTAGTGTCCAGTTGAGATTTTGGAACTGTTTCTCCTACTGATACCAGAATAAAGTGCATTACATTAGTCAAGCCTGGAAGAAATACAATAAATGACTTTAAATGATCAGGACCAACTCTTTGGTTGGATACTTCAGGGGGACGCTTACCACAGTCTATTGTGTTTGGTCTCTCCGACAGGTTCGCCTACACTGTCGCCACCGTCCTGCTCAGCACGATGGCGCGGCAGCTGAAGCTCCACAAGTTGAAGGGGCAAGTCCTGGAGGTCAGATCTGAGCTGGTGTCCACACCTAAAGACGAGACCTGGGTCACGGTCAGCAGGAGAAGCTAGAACTCGTCATTAATCATCACCAGGGGGCAGAAGAGCTGTAGAGTCCAATTACCAGCAAAGTATTTGTTGAATGTCGAGGATCCAGTCTGTGTCTGACATGACAATAATTCATTCTGAAATTAGCATCAATGTTGAGGGACTTTTCTTAATTTGAGGGATTTTTTGCACCTAAGTTGCACCATAGCTGTTTTCCTGGTTGTCTTTCGGATTCTTTTTCAGCCGAAGCATGAAGCACATTATTCCCTTCTCTCCCCACAGATACACTTTGCACTTGTTGAAAGACTGTTAATAACATCGCTATTTTAATATTCTACAATAAACTTTATGCCGTCAGATGTTTTTTTTTATAACTCCAAGAACCACTGCTTTGTATATGAATTTCTAATGACATGGGCGTTTATGTCTGTTAAAATGTGCCACATTATGTTTAGACATTTGACTCATCTGAGAACAAAATATATAAATACATATGACGATTTTGTGTTTGTGTTATATTGCATATTGTTGCTTTCCTAAGTGTACCTTAAAGAAATCTGAATTTATTATGTCATATATATATTGATTTTATGACCCAAGAAAACATAGAATATAATGATACATTTGAAAAAAGCATGAAATCCTCAAATTTGAAAAAGCAGGAATTGCTTGAAAAGGGACTTAAACTGTAAATTGATTATTATTATTATTGATTTTATTTATCATTTGGTTAATCACTACAGCTACTATTTACCTCAACTGTTCATAAAAAGGGCTATTATTTATCATCCAGAATGTAATGTCATAGGCAGCGGTGACATCACACAATGACACCAGACAATACATGGATAGGACAATATCACATACAGTAGCGTGACAGTGCAAAGTGATTAAAATGCATGTCCATCATGGTTGTTGCAAAGAGTTCAGAGTCCTTATGGCCGTGGGGGGACAATTGTTGACAATTGCATGTTTCAAAACACAGAGAAGATGCAGGACGTATCGTGGCTCACACTCTACTTCAGCAGTGCAAATTTCTAACAAATTTGTGGTTAAGCACACTTTGCACATTCAAATGAAATAAAAGAAAATCTGGGACTTGGTCGGCCCCTGGGAGCTTGTCCTGCTGCTCTGCAATAGGATAAAAGGAATCCCTAAAAGGAGTCAAGTATATTCTTCATTAGAGTTGATAATCTTGAAAAGAACAACCCTAGAGCATATTGCAAACCACACAAATTCAGAAACATTGGTTTTAACCAATGGGGAGTTTTGCTTTCCTGCGTTTCTGTTCTAAACATGATCAGTTTTGGGAACCCCTGCTGGGGAGAGCCCCTGCAGTACCGCACACAGCCGCGGCGGCGCCAGAGAGAGCCCCTCCACCACCACCAGCACACATACACACACTGCTCCGCTAAAGATGTGAAAATGGCGGAGCTACAAATGCTACTGGAAGAGGAGATTCCAGCCGGACGAAGCGCGCTACTGGACAGTTTCACCAATTTGGAAAGAGTCGCGGAGTACTGCGAGAGCAACTATGTCCAGGTATGCTGTCACCTGCGTGGGAGGGGGGGTGGGGGTTGCTTCTTTTTTTTTCACGGTGGGGCGACAACTGATGCTCGGCTAGCTGTTGCTAACGCTGCCGACGTGGTTAGCTAGCTTCGGCTAACGCGAAACACAACCTGCCGTCGGGGCGTTTTCTCCCACAGATGATCACACTGTGTGTCCCCACGTTCACACCCAGGGGTGTCAGCTTTGCTTTGCAGGCGCACCCCCCCCTCCCTCCATTTGTAATAACGCTGTGTGTGACTTGTACATCCCACGGTGGGGCTAGCTCGTTAGCCTGCTAGCTCGGCATCAGCCACGGTTCAAATGACCAAACAGGCGCCGTGGAAAATCAATTTCTCCGCTTTCTGCGCGATCGGTCACCGCTGCTACAGCGGCCAGCTGATCGGGCACCGGCCGGAGATGTAGGAGCAGATATCAGGCCAGATTAATCTCCATTGAGCTCCTGTTGACAGGAGATAAACCACTGATTTATGATGTTGGGACCTTTAATGCTGCAGTTGCATATACACTGAAATTAAGCATCTTAACGCTTCCAAACATCCAAGTGAACAGCTCATCATGTCTATTCATTGCTTGAGCTTTAAGGTTAAAGGGAAACCGGGTGTATTGCATGTATGTGTCGTGAAGTGATCATTCAGACCCTGTACTATTTGTGGCATGCTGCAGGTGGGCTCTCACTTTTCCAGCCATTCAGATCACCTGTGCTTTCTCTAGTCACAGCCCTGCTTTAAAGGATGGAAATGTGGCTCCACGGTGAGAGCAAGACGAGGTTTTGACAAAGATGTAATACTAGAATCTGACGTCCTTGATGAACAGGGCTGATCAGGTCTGACAGGTTCTCCTGGAGAGGAGCAGGAGGAGGCGGCGGCTCTTCGATGTTGGCAACTTGCTGTCTGGCAGGCTGCCCTGGATTCCTCTCCCTCTGCAAGGTTTACCCAGCTGCTCTCCAATGGGTATTACCACTAATAGAATAGACAGACAGTAGTATTCATCAGAGGGTTATTTAGCGGGATACTTGATCTCTCAATTCAAGCTGCAATTCACATCTTTGCCCTGCCCTGTCTGCCTCCAAGTCTTGTAACATTAGTCATGTTGGGATGGACACTTGTTGAACTTGTGCTTGAAGACTGTTTTGTCCTACTTATTGTTGTTCTTCCAGTTTGTCCACATGCTACACATGCATGTTTGAAAATTGCTGGCACATTATTCCAGGAAAGCCAGTTATGTCAAATTATTTGGATTGAAAAAATGGGTCTTACACTCAGCACAGTATATTCTATTCTTAGACTCTTGATTTGGATAAGTAGTCTTATAAGTATTATATATTTTCTTTTCTAAATAATAGTATATGTCCCATATTTTCCATCACATTTCCTTGAACCTTGTCTCATGTTTTCTTACAAAAGCAGACAGTCAGTATTTAGCTGGTAATTAGTAAAATATTTCCAAGAAAGGCATGGCTGTTTTTTTTATAAATTTTAAGTTGCTTGTTTGTTACCATCGCCAAGGAGGTTATGTTTTTATCTGTGCTTGTTTGTTATGCAAAAACTATTGGATGGATTACGATGGAAGGATGCAGCGTGGATCAGGGAAGAGCTCATTCAACTTTGGGCAGATCCAGGATTGTTTTACTTTCATATAATTGCAAGATACTGTGTCTTTAAACATTTTTATTGATTTCTCGAAGAATTATGTGGGAATCCTGCTGAAGAAATGAAGACATGTGTTTAGGCTTTCCGAGTGTGTGAATTTCCATGCATATCCAAATGGATCTAGTGGATTTAAATATGGTTTTACAGGGGTAGGTGTTTTTCAGCTGCTTTATGGTAACAAGCAGGACTAGAAACCTTTAACTGCTACCAATGAGTAGCTGAGAAAGAAAACATCTTCAAATGCAGACGTCTATATATCCATCATTGTTTTCTACAAAGACAACCAGCAATACACAGTTCAAAAATGTCTCCCTTCTGCTCTGCATGTAGCCAGTTTGTCCTGATACTTGGACAAAGCTGCACCCTCCACACTCCTGTGTTTGCAGACTGTCCGATGATGTGTATGATTGGATGCCACTTTGCGACTCCTTAGAAGTTTTTTCTTGCATCACATGTGCAGTTGGTTTCTCATAACAGGGGAATAGACATGTTACCACTGAGGATGATGCTATTATGACTAGTGTGGACACCTCTGCTTGTTCGCTGTTTTGAGCTGGTTCTATTATTTATGAATCTGTTTCAATCTTTCTGGTAAAATCAGCATCGGACGTGCAACGAACCCTCACATTTGAGAAGATAAAATGTCAGACAACAGTGAAATATGTTTCCTAAAGTCTAAAGGGACCTCTTCATATTCAGATATTCAGATTACTATTATATTACACAAATAAAAGCCGCAAGTCCTCACATTCTAGAATCAAGAACAAAGAATTGAGTTACTTTTCTGCTTGAAAAAAGGTTTTGACAATAAAATAATGATCAAAATAGATGCTTTAACTCAAAAAAATTAAATATCATATTCTGTTACAACCCAGCCCTGCATGCAGTGTCAGCGAGGAGCAGTTTCCCAGCAGCAACATTAGCTGATCCATCTGCACTTTGATGTTCCAGTTGATGTGCCCACGCTGTGCCCACGGCCCGACCAGCTGCCTTACAAGACTCCTTTTACTCTGGCTGCAGCTGTATTACCTGCTTCTCCCTTCCTGGTCGTTAACTTTTGAAAAATATAGAATTTCACTAAAATGTAGGTTCTGGCATTGAAACATTAAAGCAGTAGTGTAGCTATGTTGCTGTCTAATATTGCTTCAGGAGCCCTCTTAGTGTTTCAAGTCTTTTTGGGTATATAACTGTGTTTACAATGGGATTGTTATCTACGCCAAGTAGATATTTGTGTTTGAGCTACAAGGATGATATTTAGTTATGGTTTTATATATCATTATGTATTGTTTATAATAATAAACTGAATATCTATGGATGAATATCTGATGGAAAGTTGAAAAATGAAAGTTAAAGACACCACTTTGTACGTAAATCAGCCTTTTTTAATATTTTCATGCCATTTCATAAACACAACAATGAATTTAAATTAAGCAATTATGAATACAACTTTAAGGGCTGGTACACATGCCCTTGAGATATGTGATTGCTTTTAATGATATGCAAATGCTTTACATACTTAGTTACAAAATAATTGGAAACAGTTGTATTATTCAGCTGAGTGTTGAAAACTAACTATTATCACTGTTGGCGTTGCTCTTTTAATTTGATTATTGCCCCTGATTTCACAATGTAAGAAAAACAGGAATGTTGGCAGTGTAGATGCAGGGATTTCATTTAACGACAATGTTAATGGGTAGCATGTGTTTTTAACAGGCAACCTCCACACAGTGAGGTAATCTGTCACAAGGAATGTTTAAACCCTTCATGAGGATCCAATGTGACATTTCTCATCTTTATTTCATTATGTAAAGTTGAGATTTTGCATATCAGAGCTACATTACATACTAATTAAAGATGCAATAAATAGCTGATTGACGAGACAAAATAACTGATAATAGTAACTGATTTACAGTCATTTGTCTATTGTGGGTCTGACAATAGATGTGATTGACTGTAAGTTGTATTTGATGACATCATCTAGGATAAAAGTTCATTTTAAAATTGGTTTGATGAGAAACTGCATTTTAATGAGAAATGCAAAATGTGCCAGTGTGGATTGCTCCTGACAAACCGCTTCATCTCCACGCAATCTAATCCAAATATATTCAAAAGTTCAAATGTCACTATTCTCTCTTCCTCTCGCTCAGTCTCCGGACAAACAGAGGGCGCTGGAAGAGACTAAGAACTACACCACCCAGTCTCTGGCCAGCGTAGCCTACCTGATCAACACGCTGGCCAACAATGTCCTGCAGATGCTGGACATCCAGGCCTCGCAGCTCCGCCGCATGGAGTCCTCCATCAACCACATCTCACAGGTCAAGAACTGACACACAGAAAATGAATGCAAAGACTACTGATGACTTCTGTCTGATATTCCTGCTGAATGTCAGTGTTCATTTTGCTATGTCTTTACTTCTGGTCCTCAGACGGTGGACATCCACAAAGAGAAAGTAGCACGGCGGGAGATTGGCATCCTCACCACCAACAAGAACACATCCCGCACACACAAAATCATCGCCCCAGCTAATCCTGAGAGGCCTGTGCGCTACATCCGCAAGCCCATCGACTACAGCCTGTTAGACGACATGGGTCATGGAGTCAAGGTGAGGAGTTTCAGCCTTTTTACCTTAGTTTCACTTGTTAGACTTTATTTATATGGAAGATTCGCCACTTCTGAAACAAATTTTTATACTAGAGTGGGTAGGAAAATTACAGGTTGGAAAAGTTGGCGTCAGGGAAAATGAAAAATGCAAAGACTAGACGTTAATTTAAAGTTTTTTAGTTTTCAAGATGATTTGAGGGATAGGAAATGCCGAAGAACAAAATGTTACTCCACAAAATTAAATTATTTTTCAACCTTTTTGAATCTTCTCTCTTTTCAAGTGAAATACGATGTAGTTTTACCCCCTCAAGCCTCTAGATGTATTTATTAATAATCTGAAAAGATAAATGTGGTGAGAAAACATAAAACTCTGAATTATGTTTATTTTCCACCATCCGTCTTTTTTCCATTTATTTTATGTGAGGCACTGTGCAGCTTTACATCTTCAGGTATTGAAAACTTATTCCAATGAATAATCCAAGAAGCAGAAATCAATCATACACCATGTGACAAGAACTTCATATTAAGGATTCACGTGCAGCAGAGGCTGGGAACCACTGCTGCAAGAGGACTAATGTGATTTTTACATTTTAATGAGACCTAAAAAAACAGTCTGAAAGAATGTGTGGGATTCAGAAACTGGATTGTATTTGTGTTATGGGATTAACGTGAGCCGTTCACTGCAGAAAATATAAAGGAGAGGACTTTCAGAGGTCAAACAATCACGACCGGGTTTCAGTGACAAGTAATGTTAGAAGAAATCGATGACCCGGGTCTTTCAGTAGGATCGGAAATGGCACCCAAGACATTCAGCTAAATAAAGCTTCTGTTTTTGTTAGTCTGTCACCTGCTGCTGCTGTACAGTCATGATTTTATCTAATAAAAAAGGTAAACGTGGCTGCTTTTTGGAAATCTTGTTTCTCACTGACTTTGCAAACAAAGACGAGCTTGTTTCACCAAAGGTCTCAAAGAACAAATTCCTCCAATATTATCACTGATCCATTGTTGCTTGAATCTTACCAGCTTGGCTCTTTGTACCACATGCATGAATAATTGTTGTTTTTCTCTCCCCCTTTTTTACCTCTCCTCCTTCACACACTAATCCTCTGCTTTCTTCTCTTCCCCCTCTTTCTGCTTGCCTAATTTTATCTTTATAATCAACCCTAGTGGTTGCAAAGGTTTAAGGTAAGACTATCAAAGTAAGCGCCTCAAACGAGGGAGGTGATATGTGTTTTCTGAATGAGTTGAATACATTTTTTTTGGTTTGGTTTGCTGTGGGATTATTCTTTTTCTTTTCTTTTTTCTGTGTTTGTTCACTATTTAAAGAAATAGTTTGACAAGACAGATAACTGTTGTACCAGTTTTTTTTACTTGTTTCTTAATTCTCTAATTCATTTTCGTTAACCAACAAATAACCTGACACATGTCCTCCTGCCATAGGCCAGCGCTCAGAACATGAAGGCCGGAGGAGGCGCACTCCCTCGCACCAACCCCCCCACACAGAAGCCCCCCAGCCCGCCTATGACAGGCAAAGGGACCCTTGGGTATGTAAACTGTGCCAGCGCCTCGATGCAGGTTCAGACGGACGTAAGGAGGCAGACCTGTGTCTGTCAGAGACTGAATGTGTGTTTTGTGGCTTTGGTAAAGAAACCACGAGTCCTTCAGATGGGCCTGGTTGCTCCCAGTTTCATCATCTCCCCTTTACCTCTGTTTAATTAGTGTCCTCGGGGTGATTTAGAATGGACGTCAGTGGTAGTTCTCATCACAGCCGTAATCTTGTGGTTTTTCATCTGCACAGGGGAGACTGGGTTTAGAGTCTCTTTCTTGTGGAAATGCCATCAACCAAATTTGTTCCATTGTCCCTTTATGCAGGAGAGATTTTTACGTCAAACTTTCAAACGCCAAAATATCGCACACACCTCGTGAAGCATAATAAAGGACTTATTCTGACTGATAACTTGGTGCCATTGTGTATCATGCACTTTTTATGCATATGGCCATCACTTCTTGAATTATGAAGAAACCAATTTTAGAGAAGCTACTTTTAAGTCTCCAGTCCACCAGAGGAAATTCTAATATACTAACAACAAGCAAAGTCCTTCTTGTGAGTATGCCAACCATTTAGACACCATTCTGCCCGGGGCTGTTGTTGAAAAAGTAAAGTTTGCAGTGTCGAATATAAAAAAATCAAGTAATTGGGCCTGTAAAGTCCTTTCGGTTGCGACAGAGCCTGAGCTCAGCAGAATGTTGTGCACGTGGTGAGCACTTGGTCTTCCAGTCTTCAAGCTTTTCACTGGGATTTGTCTAATACCAGGGGCACAGGAGCAACACGATTATAAAGGTCACTGTAAATGTTCTAATGGTCTTAAAGCTGAAGATGAAGTTTTTTCTGTTCTGTGTCTTGACTGTTGGAGGTTTCTCTTATCCCACAGGGACACTGCTAGTGCAGCACATTAATGTTGTGTTGTTGTCAAATGCAGTTTGTGTTTCTCTGTGTATGTGGGAAATGTATGTGTGTGTCCGTCCACCCCTTCATATTGACCCTCCCAGGTGTGTGTGTGTGTTTGTGTCTGTCCCTTCGAGACGCATGCGGATCAACCACAGCTCCAGCTCTCCATGACGCACCTTCCGCCGCAGCCTGTGGCTACGGGCGGACATCTTATTTGTGATTTTAATTTATCGTTTCTTTTGTGTTATTCAACTTCCTCTTCGTTTCTTTTTCCAAATTTACTTTCAGTTTTGTGTCTTTTGACCCCGCCCACTCCTGGCTGCCCCATATTCCTCATAGCAACGTTTTGCCATAGCAACAGTGCTCAGAGATGGGTCACCCCACTGTGTCAGCTGGGAAATTTACATGCCAATGCATCCTCTCAGGCCCAGATCAATAAATGTCAGGGTTATGTTTTTCTTTTCCTCATTTTAAAAACCGAAGACGCCACCAGCATAGCACTGCTGTCGGATTAAAAATCACTTTCCATGTTTTTATTAAATTAATGTGCAAGTTTCTAGTTCAGAATATGTAGGTGGGGATTCACAGTCATGCTCAGGGACACATTGGCAGAACTGATGGGATATATTTAAATCAATCTGATGCCACTTTTGGAACATTTCAGGATCACTTGAGCCCAATTTTCATTGTCTTGTTGCTGTCAGTGCAAAACACACACATTTGCCTTATCCAGAAAACTGTCTTTCCTATTTCTATTCAACAAATTGCTCACTGTAATCTGGATTTGGTGGGTAATCTGCAAGCAGGGAGTTCACTGTCATCAAAATAGCTCATTCCTCCGCAAATGAAACACCATCAAAATCCGTAAAAGTGAGTGTGTGATGCACGATCCAAACTTTTCGTAAAGACTTTCAGTGTGTAGGTTACTCGCTCTGAGGTTGTGTATCCCATAACGAAGGGGAATTGGAAAACTCAGGAAGTGGAAGGGGAGAAGATTACAACATTCTTTTATTATTCTCGATCATATAAACAGTGCACATTTTATGGAAGTGTGGTTTTTAGGCGATAGCAGCGTTACTGTTCCTGCTGTTTGCCCCTCAACACGTGGACCCAAGCCAACCCCCGATGTTCACCACCTGACATACCCCTTTTTTAAGTTTGCACTTGTTTGTTTCTTGCTCTCCTCCTCCCCCTCCCCTACACTTCTCTGTGGATGCCCTCTCCTCCCTCCTGACCCTCTCGCAGGCGCCACTCCCCCTATAGGACACTCGAGCCGGTGCGTCCACCCGTTGTCCCTAACGACTACGTCTCAAGCCCGACGCGCAACATGGCGCCCCCCCAGCAGAGCCCTGCACGCACTGCATCTGTTAATCAGAGGAACCGCACGTACAGGTACCCCCCTCCCCTGTTCCCAGCATGCCTCTCAACACTTCTTAAATAAGCCCCTTTTTTCCTCCACCGTCCACCCCTTTCTTCTTCTCCTCTCCCACACTTTAAAGGTGTGAGCCAGCATCTGATCTTTTCCCCTCTTCCTCCTCTATTATGGAAAGTGTAATCTCTTTTACTCCCATCTCTTTTTTCCCCACTTAAACTCAAAAGTATGACCTCACAACAGTTTCAACTTGCAAGGAAAGCCCAGATTAACACTTGATTGCCCAATCTGTTGCCCCAAATCTTCAACATTCCTGGTCAGGAGCTAAACAAGAGAACATTCCCTGACTCTCCTCTCAGCACGAATCTTTATCTGCATCACTCCATCCATAGCTCATTCTCTTCATCTCCCAGCCATGCGCTCTCCTCTGTCCAAAAAAAAGTCTGCCCCATGTGTCTTGATGCTTCCTGCTTTTTATATCTTTGTCTTTGTCACTACTACGTCACCTTTGTCATTTGTCAATGGTGAAGCTTCTCGCTGCTTTTTTGTTTTGTTTTCAATCACTGTGACACATAGTCATTTCTAAAGCATAACCACTCATGCTAACACATTAATTCTCCTGAGGGTGCCACATTATTAACTTGAGTTATTGAAGCCAGGATGCGACACACACCTTATGTGAACACCCTTTCTCGGCTGGTAGCAACTGGAATATAAAGATGAACGACACTCATATTGTGTCGTATAAAATTAAGATGCATCAATCTCACTTGTGTAAATGATGTTTCCCTGCCCCCCCCAAAAAGTTTTTGTTCTTTGTGATGGCCCTGGAGCTATCAGGGCGAGTTTGCAACCATTGAGTGTGAGTGCAACACTATTTATTTGCACAATTATGTTGTTTACTAAGACTGTAAGTCAAGTTTCTTGTCCCTTCTATTATGGCTGACTTTTACCTGCAATTTAAAACAGCTGTAAAGACACTTGCTTGGTTGCTTTCAACAATTTTTTCCGACTATACCCAGCCTAAAAGTTCCTGAGTGAGGTACCCTGGGGTTACCTTTTATTTCATTTATACTGACAATTTGCAAAAAGATTTACCTGATGAGTATTTTCAAATGTAGGCCTCAATATTTATACGTTAAGACAAGTCACGCAACCGAGGCATCTTCTCCCAGAGGTCTGAATGTGTGAGTGTGTCTGAGTGTAAGTGGCCTGATTTCTTTTGCCACCCTACCACCAGCAGTGGGAGCAGCGGAGGCAGCCACCCCAGCAGCAGTCGCAGCAGCAGCCGGGAGAACAGCGGCAGTGGCAGCGTGGGCATACCCATCGCTGTGCCGACCCCAGCCCCACCCAACGCCTTCCCAGGTAATGCCTGCTTCCACTTTCCTCTCCAAGTAGGTGACTGCATGGTGATTTAGTGCTTGAAACAACTAACTTGACTAATCTTTTTTCAATATTTAAGAGTCTATACTCCGGGTTTTAAATTGTTTTTAAATTCAAATTAGAATGTGTGACACCCTGGATCTTCTGCAATCCTGTCGTCCCGTCTCACTCTTATCTTAACCTCCTTCACCTACCTTTTCTCTCCTTCCGGATTTTTTTATACCTCTTCAACTCCCTGACCTTCGACCCCTCGGGTTCAGTCCCTGTCCCATCCAACCCCACCAAACCTCCCTCCAACACCCCCACCTCTGCCACAACCCCTGGTCCCCCAGGGCCTTCTGCCCTAGACAGCCCCCCGCAGGCCCCCAACCCACCTGTAGAGATCCCGCCTGTACCACCACCCCCTCCCCAGCTCCCTACCTCTGCGGCTCCCACTGGCACAGGCCCCACCACTTTCGGCAACCCTGCACAAGGTGAGTGTGAGAAACGGTGGGAGAAGCTCACCCACTCCCTCTGCACATCCTCCATCCTTCCTCCCCCTGACATGCATCATCCCGCCTTGAGACACAGATGTCTTCATCCACTGATCAACCAGGATATTCAATGGTATTGTCTGACAGCTTGTTACCATTGATCATCTATTGATCAATTGAGCTTTCAGACACAAACCATAGTGTTCCGTGCTTCACATGAAGACAACTGCCTCCTTTTAGAAATACAACATTGGCTGCCAGTAATTGAGGTTTGTGTTGCAGTCTTGGAAAATCCTCAGCAGCAAGTCTCATTTTGACACCTGGTCTACCTTTTTAAACAAACAGCTGAGTGCTGAGAAAATAAATCCCACTTTTAAAGGTCACTGTAGAGCACAATATTGATCAAAACTGTCCTGAAAATCCAAAGTCTGGATCACACAGTCTGGTTTCATGTGCTGCTACTGCTGGATTCCCCGCTCTTCATTCTTCACAGCATCTCATCAGCTGCCTGCGTATGTGTTGATGACCATGTTCTGATCTATAATGCATGAGCTGTGTGGTGAGAAGCTTTAGCACTGAAATCTTCATTTCGTTTGTATTTATTTGGTCTTTTCTTTGTAAGTAGTGTGGCTGCTGGATATTGTCAATGTGCTGTGCTACTCTTCATGGTGTAACATTGATTCTGTGTGAAATGTCAAAAGACTAAACAAATGCAATGATTTGCTTATCAAATTCTAATCAAATTGTTCAAGTAGCTTCTGTATAAATTTGTCCTGGAACTCATGTTCAGGTTTTCTGACTGTCATTAACTAATATCCCTTTATAAGACAAGCTGAAGGATTATTTGTGTTTGAGAACCATAAAAGGAGCCATTAAAATGTAAACAATGCAAATTCAGTTCAGAAATCCCAGCCCTCCTGCTCCTCACCCTTACTGAATGACTCTCTGCTCCCCCCTGGTGTCGTCTCCCCTCAGGTGCACCTCAGTTCTACAGCATGAACCGCCCAGCGCAGCAGCAGAACCCGCAGGTGGGAGGTTCCCTTCCATACCGCCGACCTTCGTCTGTCACCGGTCAGCCCAACATGGCCCAGAGCCAGCTCAACGGTGGACCACACTTCGCCCAGAACCAAGGTTTGTTTATCCCAAGTGCAGCGGCTTTAGTCATTTACAATCCATGAGTTTAAGGGGTTCTATTAAACAATTTCCTCAAATTATTCCAAATTCATCCGCAAAACTAGATGTTCAATGAAAGTACTTGTCACTGATGGATTCTAATTTACTTCAAACTTTTAGATTTCAGAGGGAGCAGATCACTAAAGTCTAACTCTGCTGTTTTGTATCTCTTCAGAAAAGATCCGTCTGTTTTTGTGGTCTGTCATTTCCCATCAGATTAACTGCCTCCACTCGACTTCTGCTTTGTACCAGCTCCTTCTCTTTACAGCTCTTTGCAATGTTTAACCTCCATTTGTCTCTAGCGCTGTCTGATCGAGTGCTACTCTTTTATTTGTGCAGTGTGTTTTTTAAGAGTAATTTAAGGCTTCGACTCAAGCATTTCTTTTAAACTTGGTCTATAAAATGTCAAAATACAGTGAAACAGAATTTTCTCATATCCAAAGCTGACACAGGTGTCCTGTTTTGTTCAACATTCAGTTTGCCGCCTGGAAGAATAGAAGAAAGCCAGCAAATATTTACTGTATTAATAAAATATACTAAGCATTAAATGAATGATGTGATATATA